AGATTGCGATGCCGATGCAATTACACACTATCCACCCACACAAACTGACTCGCTGCCGTTGCAGGATGGGCAGGACATGAAGGATGCAGTGGTGTGCTCCAAGCACTATAGCCAGCTGACCAGCGGCCGTAAGCACCACTGTGGCGATTGCCATGCGCCAATGGAGCTAGAGCCATTGCGGAAGGCTGCAAATTACCAGGTTGTGGCAGCAAAGCTGAAGGATGAGGGCATCACTGTTTCAGAGGACGCCGTCTACTGTACCAAGTGCTACAAGGCACACCTGGCCTTGGTTACAGTAGACGGCTACGCAAGCACAGATTACCAATTGAATGCCATTGTTATAGCACAGCGGGGCATACACACGGCTCTAGCAGCAACACTCGTGCTTGCTGGAGAGCAACTGCTCTCAAAGAGTGCAGTTTTGTTGGTCACACTGCACGACCACTTCATGCACCACGCTGCCACAGGCTCACACAAACCAGCAAAATGGCTTCTCAGCCGGAAAATGGAAGTGTTGGCAGAGCACATTGAAGTTGTATACCCGAATGTGAAAAAACGTGGTATCCTGTTGCTACGGAGAGGGTGCAACACGCAACAGGCCTTGCATGATGCTCTTTCCGCCCAGCGATGCGCTGCAATGTCACACGACAAGCTTGCCACGGACATACCTGTAGTAAACAACAGGACAGAATCAGAAAATGGAGTTTCGGCAATGGCGGAGCAGGTACACATGATGATCAGGGCACAGGCTGGTGACTTTATCGGAAAGGAGTTTGAGGATGGCACAGCTTTAAACAAACTAAACTTCGACAAGGTCATACAGTCGGTGCATCCACATCTGTGGTCTTGGATTTGGGTGGTACTTTATGGCGAAGGGACACAAATCCCAAATCCCAACGGCAATGCCACTTGAAACGCAACGGCAAACTAAATGTCTTAGGCAATACACGTTTTGTCGTCCTTGCTGCATGCTGCGAAGCCTCAGTGTGTGGTTCCACTGCAGCTGGTATTAGCAGATGTAGTGGAAACATACAGTCATTCGACGACCCTTCTCGCCACACTGTGACGGTTCGGTATGCATGTTCACGCAGATTGAAAATCGCCTCAAGTCTGCAACTGGTCTGCAAGCATACCTTGTATGTTGTGTGTACCTGTCTGGAAGTGTTCAATTTCACACCGTTGACATCTCTGTGCTTGCTGAGGTTTTGAAATTTTAACTAATGGCTTTGCTGTTTCATGTATGTCCATTTTGGGGTGAATAATTTCCAATGCCAAAGGTCCAGCCTCATTTCTCGGTGTTGACCTGAAGGAGCTGCACGATTTGTTCAACCGCAAGCAATGTCAGTGGACAGAAATGCACGTACATGTATGTATGTACAATTTTAAACCCACACACACACGTAACTACATATTGTAACTTTTTTCCAAGAGCGTTTTGATGGTTTCTGAGAGCTGAGGTATTTCAGAACAGTTCACAAATGCACTACAATAGTTCAGACACCAGAACTGAATACGTTTTATCACTTTGTATACTTTTAGTGGCTGCTGGTATACTCGTTTTCCACATGACAACAATATGTATAAAAATTATCGAAATGATATACAAAGTCTTTCAATTAGTGCCATCGGCTTAGCCGTGCTGGTATGCTCAGACTATTTCTATCACAGGGCACACAATTATGTACTTACTGAGGTTTCTAATGACTGCCTCGTGTCCGCGGCTTCTGGCAGCTGCAATTCGTCTACTTCTCGACTCGAGCCGACGAAATTAGAAAAATAGGGAATATAGTTTCTTCCTAATAAAATAGGTACATTGAGGTTACGACCTCAAATTCCCACTCGTCATCACAGCAAAGGATAGAACTCATCATTTCCCACTACATTGGTGACTTAGGAACCCAGTGATATGATAGGAGAAGCAAAATCAATTGCCAAAAATTAGGCAAAATTCTCCCTCAACTGCCATGAGCGTCGTCATCTTTCCCTGCATAAAACCTGTATCACCCTTTCCCGCAAATAAAATAAAAATCGGGCAAATCAAGGCTTGGCGCACGGACTGAACATGGAAGGAACAAGGGCTTTTATCAACGAAACCTGGTGTTCCACGCATGCGTTAACACCAAGGATTCAAATAAAATCACAAAATTCATGAATTTTCACTACAAAAAAGTTATCAAGAGTTAGGAAACTAGGCCAAACACATTGATATGGAGACAGAGCATTCTGAAGTATAATCTGTACATTTGCATGCACTATAAAAAAAACATTATGCGGTCGGGTGAAAAAAGACGGTCGGTCGGGCCGGGTGACCCGAAACAACGAATTAATTCTGGATGGCCTAGAAGTTTTTTCCTGGCATTTTGAGGTTCGAATTATCAGGATTTTGCCTGTAGTAGTCATGTACAGTAGGTATCGGTTATAGCGTGGGTGTTTGAAAAACGACTTTCTATTCTTATTTCCTGCTGCTGACGAATTTCTTCAACGCTGTTCAAGCTACAGAGTACTGTCCTGACGACATGCGCTGCGGCCTCATCGTTCCCATCTACAAAGCCGGCAAGCCTCTAGGACATCCAAAAAGCTACCGCCCCGTTATGCTCCTTTCCGTCGTCCGTAAGATCTTGACGTCAATACTCACCCGACGACACACACTCCATGTGGCAGAGAGCCAAGCTGGTTTCCACCCTGGCAGATCGACCACGGATGGTGTCTTTTACGCCAGGACGATGTGTGAGCGCGCACTAGCTTGGTAAACAACTAAGCAAACCATTTCCAACGAACATCGGCGTCGTCCAGGGTGACCCAATGTCACCAATAATGTTTATAACTTACGCCGAAGGTTCCATGCGTAAGATCCGAGAGCAAGCTCTACCCGCGTCAGACCTACCAGCAACTTTCACACAATACGCAGACGACACCACTGCCCATCAGAACGAGCGATCATCTGTGGAAGAAACCGTCCGTGTGTGTGAACCCGTTTTCTCGGATGACAATCTGAAGCTGAACGTGGCAAAAACTCAATATTTCACTGTGACCAAGGAAGATGATTCCTGGAAATCGGTGAAGCTGCTGGGGAGTATGCTAGGCACAGCAGAAGACATAGCAGCCAGAGTGTCTGCTGCAAATCGGGCATTTGCAAGCATTCCATGGAAACGCCACAACCTGAATTCCAGGCTGTGTATGTTTTCCTGCCTGATATTGCCTGTCTTGCTGTATAATTGTGCGCTTTGGACCTTATCGCAAACATTAACCGACGTCGTCAATGTATGGCACCGGAAGAAACTACGTACCATCATTGGTATCACGTACCCACAACGAATCTCGAACACAGCGCTGTATGCCAGAACCGAGCAGACCCCACTATCCCAAGTCTGCAGGCAACGGAGACTGCTGTGGTTCGGCCATGTAGTGAGGGAAGGCGAAGAATCGTCCTCGTTCCAAGCCCTCCTAATGTCAATCAACACAACAGACATACGACGACCCCGAGGACGACCACGTCTGAGATGGATCGACGTTGTCAAGAAAGACTTACAATGCATTAATCTGTCGCTTCTGGATGCTGTGCAATCTGCTTCTGATAGAGCTGCTTGGCTCGAAATTGTTAACAGATGCGTTGACCTCATGCAATGAGTGAAATGCGAACTGTCATTATTATTATTATTATTCTTATTTCCGATATTTCTTACACACGATAAATCAAGTGTGACATATCATGTGCATGTGCGCAGAGGCAGGAAGATCATCGTACATACAATGTAGTGCTACTGTGCATGCGGCTGGTCACAGTCACATAGGCTTACCATGTGGCTATGCAACATGAGTTACATGACCACAATAGTTGAACCTGCAGCACTAGGACCCAACGCGAGTCAGATCAGAACTGCTTTGGACGGATGTTATTACTACAGGCGATATACTTTGTACTGATCTGGCATGTTTCGCTACACAGATTCCATTCTTAGGACCGATATATTCTACTGTACGATAAAATTGCTTGTAAGAATAAATGTGCACATGAAATCCATGTTATGATTATGAAAACATGAGAGTTCATTCTTGTCGGCAGTATATTCTTTTACACGACCACGCTATAACCGATACGCACTGTACATGTGTACAGTCATGTAGTCTGTACTGCATGCGCTCGAGTGCACAGATCTACACTACAAATCTATAGACTGCATGCTGTAGATCTGTGCACGTGCACTCAGCTTGGACACCGGTCCCGTGGCCGGTGCCCAGGCCAGGAGAGCGACATCACATAGCTTTTAGTACGACTCCCTGCCCTGGTGCCATGCCAATCAACGTTGTCAGTGCCAATGGCAATGAATGGTGCACACAAGCAACCCAGACCTAGCGAAGGATAATTTTTGGTCTTCTGCAGTTCTGGAGAAATGGACGCATGTGGCGTATTTGTTACTAAACCGGAGCGAGCAAGTAGTTTTGGTGGATTGAGAGAGAGTGCTCACCTGAGAGGCTCGGTTTTGGGGGTTCTAGAGTAATATAGAGTAAATCTTACTTGGAAATGCTGCTCCGTTTCATTTCTTCTTCCTCAGCGAGGTCACCTCTAGGCTTAGCACACCACAGTCAGTGCATTGTGCGAAGTTCGCAGTCCAACTGTCTCCAGGATTTTACTAGGACTCCACTTACACTGTATGGGACCATAGTGGCACGAAGCGGACAACCAATAATGAGCGAGAGAGGTTGAACAAGAATGAGCGAGAGAGGTTCAACAAGAAGGAGTGAAAGAGGCTCAACAAGAATGAATGAGAGAGGTTCAACAAGAATGAATGAGAAAGGCTCACCAGGAACGAGTGAGAAAGGATCATCACTTGGTCAGCTACCCACACATGATGTAGTACACATGGATGTAGCCATGGATGTACATGATGTAGTACATATATGGATGGTCCAAGATGTCAACTCTACAGGTCTGCAAGTACATAACACATGGACATGTACGCACCTAGGATCTCTCATCATGGTCATGCTACTATTGCTGCTGCTGCTGGTGTTGTACACGGCTCCACCGCAGACAGTGCTACTGCTCACAAGCTGCAGCTCGTCGTCTCCGTCCGGTCTCGAGCACGGTTGGCATAGCAACGGCGATGACGGCAATACACACGTTGCAAACTCAACACCACCGTGGTCGTCGTCACTACCACAGTCGCCACTGTACTTGCTGCCGTGACCTGCGTTCCCCATCTACGCTATCGGTGGTGCACAACAGTTCACTGTGCCACCAAGCGACAGCGACCTGGAGCTTATTGCCAAGAACTTCCGCTTCATTCAGGTAAGTCGCATGTCACGTCGGAAACAGTTGTATTGTGAATCGGCCACACGCCGGGCGGTGTGCGGCCCTATTTCTGTGAAAACTGGGCTGCAAAATGGTGCAAGGCGCAAACTTGCATGATGCGACTCAGACTGGATTTCATTGAGCTGTACAGTACTGGTACATGTGATGTCACAGGATACAAGTTTCATTAATAATGTACACGACATCACGCAGCACCGCACCACTGCGGCACATCACCACCACACAGCGCGGCACCGCACAGGACTGTGCGACACCACACGCCGCCGGAATACACACCATCGCCACACCACACCACATGCATGACACCACGCCACACCACCCGGTACCAAACCACAAGATGGCCTGAACCTGTCGTAAAGTTTCTTCCTGTCTGTTCGGTTTGCGCGTACCTATCTTGTGTTGTGTCAACTTCAGATACGTGACTTTGCCCACAGCAACAGCGATGCACTGCTCATCGTTGTCTGCATACTAGCGTTACTGTGTCTCTCGGTCATTGCTATCTGCATGTGCATCCTGTGTCGGCAATGTCGCAGCAGCAAGCAACAGGGCGGGCGCAAGATGAAAACTCCCGGCCCGCAGCAGCGCTCAGACAGTCTTCGTTACTCATGTCTCGATCAATACAGTCCCGCGCAGTCACGTTCCGGAAAGCCGGCCCCTGTCGAGGGTGATGAGAATCACGACAGACCATCATCGCTGCAGCTGGAGCGAAGTAATTCCATGCCGAGCTCACGTGGACGCAATCTCTCGACGTCAATACCTCCATATCTGCCGTCCGTTGTCGGTAGTCACAGTAACGGCTATGAGGTGCATCCGTACATCAGAAACCCCCGCGGTCCCGCAGGGGCAGCAACAACGACGCGATGTCTGGAACGTCGACGCTTTGGCAACATGACCACCAGGTCTACGCGACGCGAGGCATCGCCGTTGGTTACGGGTGACGACCAACGCACCACCAAGTCCAATCCGGCACAGGCACCGCGGAGTCGCTTGACCAGCACCCATCGGCAGCCGCCGTTGCTGCGAACGATTGAGCGCAGCCAGAGCTGCTACACCGAGGAGGAGCTACTGGCGGACGTGAAGAAGATTGATCGCGCCAGGTGCCTGCGCCGACAGTCGACCGTGGATTCGCAGAGCATGACATCGCTCGATTCCCTTCCGGACATGCTAAGCAGCACGGGCATGGACGGTGTCAGCGTGACGACGTCCACTCGTGATCTGTACCGGCGATCGACCCCGACGTCATCGTCAAAGCCCACGACTCCCGTGAATCGTCGTCCGCTGCCCGCAGCGGCACCCAGCAGCCCGGAGCTGGGCACCGAGATCATGTTTGCGGCGCCGTCGAAGTCGCACGCCTCCGTCAAGCTAACCTTTTACTTCACCGAATACAATCAGACCATGACCATACTTAACGTGGAGTGCTTCGAGCTGAGCCGTGCGCCGTCGCGCTCCAACACCTTCATGGCCAAGCTGAGCAGCACGCACCGCCCGCTGCAGAAGGAACGCACCGCGCCTGTCAACGGCTCGAGCAACCCATTCTTCTTCCACGAGGTGCTGCGCATGCCGTTCGCCAGCATCGAAGAGGTACGCTCCAGCACATTGACCGTGGAAGTGTACCTAGTGCACTTTACACTCGGCCCGCTGCACAAGGAGAAGAAGATTGCCATCGCGCACTACGATTTCAACGCCAGCCAGGACGTCGAGGGGGTGAATAACATCTGCTGTGACTTGCAGCCAGTACGATGAACATCGTGGATCAGGGGCGTAGCTGGTCCCCCTCTCAGGGGTGGGGGTTGGGGGTTGTACGGTCGCATATGTGTAGGATTGCTAGTGTGTGTCATCCATGGTCATCATCATGTGCCTGCTGAACCTAGGTCGACATTTTTTGGGGTCGGGGAGGCAGTGCATGTGCCCCCCCCCCCCCTGCCCCATGCGGACTACGCGCCTGGTCGTCATGGTTTGAAGTATACGGAAACGAAAAGCTTCAAGTCGTTTCGTTCGTTTGTGGCTTGTGCCACCGTATGTGAATAGACATATAACCTGAGACCAATGTCCCTCATCGTAGCAGTACCTAACATCTGCTGTGACTTGCAACCACTGTACTGAACACCGTTGCCATGCCATGGTGTCTCATACGGAAACCGAGAACCTCGGGATATTTCAAATCATTTTCGTTTGCCCGTTTTGTTTATGTTTTTTTTTTAGTTCGTTGCCTCAACAGTACAAAGTACAACTTCAAAGAGGGTCGAACATTTCATTCGTTGTGGCTTGTGTCACCCTGTAAGAATAATCGTGTATCCCGAGACCAATGCACTTAACTTTAGTACCTTCAATTTACACTGATTTATTACGTAATAAGTTACTTGAGTTACGACTGGAGTGCACCCAGCTCCTATGGCATGTCGAGCACTTCATGAAAACTTTAAAAGTGCTTTGACATTGATTTCTGACAGTGTGAATTGCCAGGTCACATGCCGGGACAGATACCAGGTCACATGCCAGGTCACATGCCGGGACAGATGCAGCTGATATGCTTCATTGCTGTACGCTGAGTTTGGCTTCCTCCAAACCACCTGGCTGACCCTCAGGGGTTGGTTTGGCTGCTTCTCGAAGGCAGTCATTATTAAATTAATTTTGTTTGCATTGTAAAGTTGAATGCTTGTTTCATAATTATGGCAATGGTGCAGCCATTGCCATAAGGGGGGGGGGGGGGTGCACAAGCACCCCCCCCCCCCCCCTCTGGTTACGAACCTGTCCAGAGAGAATACATGCAGTCATATTATGTTAATTGCGGGACACAATCGAGAGAAGTGTTCTCCACAGTTGACCGTGCTGCAGACAGTCATGCGTGATGAAAGAAGGTCAGTTACCCAGGTGCGTGCGCCAGTGCCCTTCAAGGGGGTGTTCCGGGGGGCCTCCCCGGGAAATTTTTCAAAAATGAAGCAAAATCCTGCATTTTGAGCAAAAAAGGGGGGTTCCGGGCACCCAGGAACCCATACGGGGCACGCGCCTGGTTACCGACACTGGCGGACAGAATCTACTTGTAAGTTGTAGCTACACAAAACCAGCACCGGAGGGTGTACCCAGTGTGCTGACAGTGCTCAACACCATGGCGGAGGCAGGGTGTACCCAGTGTGCTGACAGTGCTCAACACCATGGCGGAGGCAGGGTGTACCCAGTGTGCTGACAGTGCTCAACACCATGGCGGAGGCAGGGTGTACCCAGTGTGCTGACAGTGCTCAACACCATGGCGGAGGCAGGGTGTACCCAGTGTGCTGACAGTGCTCAACACCATGGCGGAGGCAGAGCGTAATACAGAACAAAACAACAAGGACAATCAAGGCAGGGTTGTTGCTACTTGAAGTTTCATGCTCTCGCAATCATCAAGCCCCAGCACCAAAACCATTACATGTATTCACACATCTCTATTTTCCATATGGAGATCAAACATAGAGAATCAGCAAGGACAAATACGTAGACTTTCCTGGGAATTAACATGACTACACTTAGTATACTACTACTGTACAATGAAAACACAAAACACAAAACAGGAATTGATGATGTCACTGCCATGCAATAGGACGCTTCCTGAAAGTACACAACGATGAGGGAATAGAACGACGAGCGTTCGGTACGCGCGTTGGTACGCAGTATTTCACTACAGGATACAAGTTTCATTAATTAATAGAATAGTGATAAAGTAAAAATTCGATGCACATTGCACATACAGTTGCACATACAGTAGTTCCAGGTATAGTAAAGAATATGATAGGTGATGAACAGGTGACGCTGTTGAGTATTGTTCAGTCCATTGCAAAACTGTGTGTGTGCGTGTGTGTGTGTGTTGGGAGGGGAGGGGGGGGGGGTGGGGTGGGGGGTGGGGGGGGGGGGGATTGTTGAAGAATGGTAGTACTGGTATCCTACAGCGGAACTATTCACAATAACGTACGCATGATTAGGTGCAACGATGGTCAGCGCTGTGAACTGAGACAGAGGTGGCGGCAATGAATGACGTTCAGAACCGATGCAGCCCCATCAGAAAGTGAACAACACGCCGGCAGTCAACGTATGTGTGCACAGCTGTAAGCATGCGCTCTCTTTGCAAAATATCTTTGACAGTACACATGCTCTTGAGATGTTCTGAATATCCACATATCCACATGATCATGTGATCTGATTATGACGTCATGCGTATAAACTATAAACCCAGTCATGGTGTAACGAGTATAGTCTGATCATGTGATCAAATTATGATGTCATGCTAATATTCTGATCATGTGATCTGATGTCGTGTCTATACATGTAGTATGATCATGTGATCAGGCTAGGTCAATGAAGATTTCCATGTGATTCACAGCGGCTGTGACAGTTCCTCAAGTTATCACCTGACTACAACTGTTGACATTTCACGTGACCATGGTGAGTGTAACAATTCTGATGACGTCATCCCGTCTGATCACAGAAACCATACACTGATGATGACATCATGTCATGTGATCACGTGACTACAGACTGATGGCATCATGTCATGTGACCACTCAGTGAGCATGTAGCGACGACATCATGCACATCATGTGATCAACGACCACGCAATACCAGCAAAAACACATAACTGTATGACCATACCAGGATCAGTAGTTCCTCTTGCGAGCAGCTCCCGATGAGCGCCGGCTGTGGCGGGTACTGCTGGGCAAGGCTGAGAGAATAGGCGCACGGGGAATGCCATCCGACGGGAACGTGCGACGGTCGGGAACAAACTGTGTGAACGATAACCGCTCCTGAACGCTCGATGCTGCGTTCTGCGGCTTGGCAGAACTCTTGGGTGTTCCGTAGCGAAACTGATTGATTCGTTCTTGAGAGCGCTTCTCCGCTTCCAGCTCACCAATGTCCTGGAGAAACTTGACGCGCGACTTCTCAAAGCCCTGCAGATGAAGACAGCATTGGGAAAGCGAATGTGTGTGTATGGGGGGGGGGGGGGGGGGAGAGAGAAAGACGGACAGTGACAGAGAGAGGCGGAGAGAGAGAAAGAGATAGAGAGCAGAGCACAGCAGAGACGGAGAAATATTCGTCCGGAATGTTTTTCAGTTTTTCGACCCAGGAGTTGGATGAAATTATTTACTGACCAAATTTCTGCTTCTACAGTAGCTGGTTCATGTTGTAAGGGGGGGGGGGGCTTGGTCGAAATATTCTTGATGCAGCTAGTCATCGTCAGAGCTCACGACTTTCGTGAATCGCCACCCACCACCTGCACCCGGCAGCCCTTGATGCAGCCAGAATAGTATGTTTCTTTCTGTAAGGCTACACCAAGTTTATTCTATTTTCGCGTTGGGCCTTTTCTGGAAAATGCCCGTGAGCGGGCAAAAAAAAACAAGACAGAGGAAAACAAAACTCCATTTCTATGTGCACACAGAATAGCACTACCAAACTGTCGTTGTCTGCAAAACGACAACAAGTCGCCGCAGCACAGCAAGCAGACGGGGCTGGAGTGATACAGTAACAGATTTCATGGATGGCTACAGGCCCGTCACAGTGACATTAGAGGTGGGGCGGCAAGAAAGATGGTGCGGGGTTACTCACGCCTTGAAAGTGTCAAGCACCGCAGGTAAGTATTTATTTAGGGAGTTCGAGAAGGAGGAGGGAATGGACCAGCCCGGGGGGGGGGGGGGGGGGGGGGGGAGGTTGTATTATCAGTACCTTGCAGTCGTCGGAGAGGTCGTTGATCTTGGCACGTAGGGCCTCGTTCTCACGTTTCACCCGCACTATGTGCTCCTGCACTCGTCTCTGGGCATCCTGTATGATCATCAACACAAACATAACAGAAGAAAGACACTTTCTCGCAGAGTTTTCCGCAGTTACCCATGCAAAGGTCCCTGGCACCAGGAGCACCACTACCAGCAGCAGGCAGAACCCGCCGGTACCAGCACCCCTCGGCCCCCCTCCCCTCCCCTCCCCCCCCCCCCCCCCCGCCCAACACCACCACCAGCCAACGTAACACCACTACCAGCCAACATAACCCTGGCACCAGCAGCACCACCACCAGCAGCAGACAGAACCCCGGCACCAGCCAACATAACCCCGGCAACAGCACCTCCGCCGCCATCAGCAGACAGACACCAGCACAAGTGCCCCCCCCCCCCCCCCCCCAACACCACTACCAGCCAACGTAAACCCGGCAACACCAGCACCCCCCCCCCCCCCCCAACACCACCGCCAGCCAACATAACCCGGGCAACAGCACCACCAATATAAGCAGACAGACACCAGCACAAGCAGTACCCCCCCCCCCCCCCCCAACACCACCACCAGCCAATGTAACCCCGGCAACAGCAGCAGCACCGCCATCAGCAGACGTTGCCCCAAGAACAGCAGTACTCTGGCCATCAGCAGACAGAACCCTGCCGGGCAACAGCACCTCGCTCGTTACCCCCCCCCCCCCCCCACACACACACACCACCACCACCACCAGCCAACATAGCCCCGACAACAGCAGCACTACCACCGCCAGCAGACGTAACCTTGGCACCAGTAGCCATCCTCAGCAGACGTTGCCCCGAAAACAGCACCACCACCACCATCTGCAAGTTTCACCCTGGCAGCCATGCCACCCTACCATCAGGTAACCCTGGAAACCATGCCACCCTACCATCAGCAAATGTAATTCCGGCAACAACAACAACAACAACACCCCACCACTATCGGCAGATATACAATGTAGCTCCGTCAACAACATCAGCAGCACACACACTGAGCAGCATTTATACCTGCTTTGCCTCCTGCTTCATTTTCGTGATTTTCTCTTCAGCCTCGTCCTCGAAGACTTTCCTCTTCTGCAAGTACGCATGCTTCATGTCATGCTGCTGCTCCTTGTTCCCCAGCTTGACAGCTTCCACTTCAGCCTCCAAATCCTTGATCTCCTTAGCTTGGTGGTCTCTTAACACCTGCGTTAATACACAACCAGACGGAACTCAATCTGCGGACAGAACTGCTTCGCCCCTTGTGGACTCATCAGCGCAGCACAGAGAATAAGAGGCCGAACCTGATAGCAATGAAAAATAGATATACCAAAGCCAGATTTAAAACAGGCCCGAACGTACCTTGCCAGAGTGCTCAAACTGACAAGTCAGTGAGCTCTGCATAACGCAAACAGCAAAAGCACTACCCTACACGAGAGTGCTCAACTGCTACAAAAGCAGGAGCGAAATACTTAATCAGACGGAACAAACATACCGTAATTTTCTGGATAGTAGTATATCCCTGTACGTACTCGGACAGTTTCCTCGGAGACAAGACGCAATAACACTGAGAAGAAGGACACACTTCAGGCTCTTGAACAATACATGTATCTCCAAAGCTCAGTTCACTAGTGTACCTACAAGTATTTCTTCTTTAAAAGTTATTTGATAAGGCTTGACAGTATACTATTTAAAACATATCCAGCCCTCGCCCTCGCCCTCGCCCTCGCCCTCGCCCTCGCCGCACACATCCGCTTTCCACAAAGATATCTGGATAGGCGAGGGAACCGGGTAATCGAACACACAACGTCATACTGTATGCATGCATGACATATGCTGTAAATCAGTAATCAACGATTTTCTTCCGGATGGCGAGGGATCCGGATAAAAGAGGACCGGATAAGCGAGGTCTGACTGTAAAACATTCGAGACGTTGTTCAAGAGCCTGAAATGTGCCCTTCTTCTCTGTATTTGGGTCCTGGATTTCCCAGTTCTGGCGGTTAAACGTCACCTACCCCGGCTTGCCACCCCTTGTCGACTACCCTACACATTGGTCCATCCAGCCTCTTGTGCGCTTGCATTTTGCCACCTTCGATGCGATCGGTAGCATTTGCCGGTGTACCCTTTGTCCTGGAGAAGGCGCTGATTTGGGCTCCAACATTTCGTAATCTTCAGAAAGAGCCCCCCAACCCCCCTAACC